ACCATGTGTTGTCAGGCAAGGTATGTTTTGATTGGCTAGGAGTTGTACATCCCACTCCAGCCTCTTCTATTGACCATGTGTCATGTCAGGGAATGCTTTTGATGTGCTAATGTACTGGGCATAGCTCGTCCCATGCTTGGGAAGGCGCCGGCAAGTCGCTCTCTCTTGGCAGTGGTGTTAAAGTGTCTTGAATAGGGATATGCGGGCCTGGCGGTAGTGTTACCAGCTAGTGCCATCTGGCCCAAGCGGGGAGAATTTTAGAAAAGCCTTTTTCTATACATAGGGTTTAAGGAGGGGTAGGACCTCAGGCAGGTACAATGCCATAGACTCCACCCTCCAAACCAGCCATTTTCTCCTGGGAAAACAGTCAGAGGGGCAGATAATGGTACGTTGATGGTTCGCTGAGAAGGAAATAGGGTTGCCACCTCTGAGTTGGGAAATTCCTGGAGATTTGAGGGGTGGAGCCTGGAGAGGGTGGGGTTAGAGGAGGAGTGGAATCTCAGACAGGTACAATGCCATAGAATCCACCCTCCAAACCAGCCATTTCCTCCTGGGGAAATTTCCTCCTCCCCTGCCATTCTCCAGGGGAGGGCTGAAGATCACTCAAAATTAAAACTACGCTCCAGACAGCAGAGATCAGTTCCCCTGGAGAAAACTGCTGATTTGCAGGGTGGACTGAGTCATTATACCTGCTAAGGTCACTTCCCCTCCTGCTTGGGTCCCCACTGAGGAGGAGAAAGACTGTACTTTTCCTAGGTAGAGGCTCCAGGTGTGGGGAGAGATGGAAAGCTGAAGTCAGAGGGGTAGATAACGGTATGTTGATGGTTGGCTGGGAAGGAGATAGGGTTGCTACCTCCGAGACAGGTACAATGCCATAGACTCTATCATCCAAACCAGCCATTTCCTCCTGGGGAAGCATTGTTGCCAATCTCCAGGGGAGGCCTGGGGATTACTCAGAATTGCAACTGCTTTCAGATAGCAGTGATCAGTTCCCCTGGAGAAAATGGTAAGCTATTTGTCATTATACCTTGCTGAGGTCTCCACAGCAAATTGACAATGAGTGCCCAAAGCCAGGGCACCCACCCAGATCCTCTTTCTAGAGCTCATTGTATTTATTTCCATAAGGGTCATTATTCCTAGTATTAAATAAATTATTTGTTACTTTATAGCAAGAGATCATGACTGTTAAATACTGGGTTCCATGGATGGTCTGACCCCAAGCTTAGTAATCAGCTCAGCTTTATTAGTGATTCAGCAGATACAAGGCAAAACTCCAAGGCAACAGCCCTGTTTAAATAGCATGCAAACACCACACCCAACCCAATGATAGGCTATTTACAATAATTCCTTATTGGTCACCTCCAGAGTCCTTGTGGGCTATTGTTCTAGAGCTCCAAGTTCAGCCAGTCTTTGGTAGACAGTCCTGGAATGTTCCAGCCCCAAAACGTAACAAGGACAATGCATTTTAATGGGTGTTTCAGTTGCTCTCCTTCCTTATAAACAAGGAGTTTTGTGGTGTCACAGAGACTCATAGATTTATTGGTACACAGGTAATTGCTGAATAAATAAGAATTTTAACTATTAATTTTACTAAGTGGGTAGGTTTGCTAGCCCCCAGGTCCAGGCAGGGGATCCCTCAATTTCAGAGGCTTCTCCCCACCGTGGACCAGCTGGCCGGCAGGGAGGGGAGCCCTTCCTCTAGAGAGGAACATCACTGTGCAATGTCCCTGACATGATGACATCACCCAGAAGTGACATTACTGTGCAGGGGATACTCTGGTATTTAGGCAAACTCTATGGTTTGAGGGTGAAAAAACCATAAAGTTTCACCCAAATACCACAGCAACCCCTGCGTGATGTCCCTGATGCGATGATGTCACTTCTGGGTGACGTCATCATGTCAGGGATGTTGTGTGATATCCTCACCTACCCTCAGAATGCCCCCCAAATTCCCCCGCCAGAGCAATGAGGGGATCTGGCAACCCTTTAAGTGGGGCTTAAACAGGCACAGTTATGGCTGTTGTGAATGTTTGCTAGACGTACCTTGTATTTTTAGATTTTGGGTAGAAATGTCACCTCTTGCATACCTCTTGCATACCTCTTGTATTTCATAGCCTTTTAACATGATTATTCATAACCACCCCCCTATATTAATATATTTATTTACTGTATTTGTAGACTGCCTTTCTCAGTGAGACTCAAAGAGAATTGTGTAATATAACCTGGTTAACAGTTCATACAAAGAGACATCATATAAACACAGTGTAGATCAAAACAGTCAATATGAGGAGACCCCTTAATGAACAGTGTATCAGGACCAGGATTACTGAACTACAAATGAGCATAAGATATTGGGCATGATACAGGATGTGGATATAATTATGAAATGAAAAGCAAGTAATATGTGCAACAAACTGATTATATGTCCTAAATACAATGGTATAGTCCACAGCCCCTTTCTATTATAATAAAGGTAAAGGTTCCCTTGCTTGAAAGCCAGTCGAATCCGACTCTAGGGTTGCGGTGCTCATCTCTGTCATGTGGACGGCATGACTAAACACCAAGATGCACGGAACGCTGTTACCTTCCCACTGAAGTGGTACCTATTTATCTACTTGCAATTTCTTGCTTTTGAACTGCTAGGTTGGCAGGAGCTGGAACTGGAGATGGGAGCTCACTCGTCATGCGGCACACTCGGGTCTCGAACTGCTGAACTACCGACCTTCCACAGCCTGCAGTTCAGTGTCTTAACCACTTGAGCCACTGCAGCTCTTCTATTGTAATAGAACCCTGTTAACTTTATAGAAAAGCTCTCTTGAACAACTCCCATTTTACACATTTTATGGAATGACAGGAGCATGGGAGTCCTCTGACCTCTTCAGGCAGGCCATTCCACAAGATGGGGGCTACAACAGAGGAAGCATGTGTACAGGCGGTTGTTGGAGTGTCTGGATGGCCTTCAAGGGCAGGCCCATGCAGAGTGCATTACGGTAAACTAATCTTGATGTTACCATAGCATGGATCCAAGTAGCTAGATTGGCTGCGTCAAAGTAAGCTGGGAAAGCTGGAAGAAAGCATTTCTAGCAGCTGCATTAACTTGTTCGCCAGCAGTAGTGCTGGCTCCAGTTTAACCTCTAGGCTCTTAAGCAAGTCAGCAACTCCTTCAAAGCAGGGAAGTAAAATACCCTTCAAGCCTCAGCCCTCCCAGCTAGTATTACTTCTGTCTTATCAGGATTCAGTTTCAGTTTGTTC